AAACTGTATGGTGTCGCAAAGGTGAGGAGTACAAAGAAAAAAGCATGGTGCCTACAGTGAAACATGGTGGCAGCAGTGTCCTTCTGTGGGGCTGAATGAGTGCCTCTGGTGCCAGGAAGCTGCATTTCATTGATGGTATCATGAATTTACAGATGTACTGCTCTATATTGAAAGAGAAGATGCTACCATCACTCCATGCCCTTGGTCGTTGTGCACTTTTCCAACATGACAATGATCCAAAACACACCTAATACCACTGTTGCATTTCTTTTTGTTTACAAACATTTTTATTTTGTTTTTTTGCCAAGAAATAGACTACAAAATGGCAGTACAACATTAAGTAAGATATACAACAGGAACAAGGCACGTCTGTAATGTATATTTCAAATGGTACAACCATGCAAAGTAAAAAAAGAAACAAAGAGAAAAGAAATTAAGTACATGAGCAATATAGGTAGAAAGGTAGGCAGAGCTATACAGCTACCAAGAAAATGACTCAATCAACCAAAATATGAGTGGACCTTAGTCAGATAGTAAATGCCTATGAGTTCTCCAAATTTCCCATTTACCACTGTTGCATTTCTGAAGAAGAACAGGGTGAAAGTGATTCAGCGGCCAAGTATGTCTCCTGATGTGAACCCAAGCAAACACCTATTCTAAAGAGGCAAGTTGAGCATCACTTTCCATCCAGCATCCAGGATCTAAAAGAGGTCGTTCTTGAGGAATGGAAAAAGATAGATGTTGCAATATGTCGCCACTTTGTTCATTCCATGCCTAGAAGACTTGTTGCTGTCCTTACAAATCATGGAGGCCATACATATACTAGATGTAGTAGTTTTTGTTGTGGGGTGTATTCATTTTTGCATCAAATAATTTGAGTAAAACTAAAGATTTTGTAATCTAAGTTATAATATTAACCTTACTTTTATGTAATGAGCTAAACAAATGTTCTATAAAACTCAGTGTTGTCAGAATTTTGGAAATTGCTCTTGTTTTCAGTGAGCTATTGATTAAAATCTTACTTTTCAAAAGGGGTGTATTAATTTATGCTGAGCACTGTATCTCCAATGCTGTCTCCAAACCCAAAACAGGTGTGTGTTTTTTAAGGGCAGGACAGCTGTCAGCAACACATCCAATATCACACTGATTGGAGTCAAGGTTGGCTCACTCCTGGCTCCAATTAGGTCTGGGAGAAGTCATTAAACTAGGGCCTCACATACCTTTTCCTCCCTGCACTGTGAATGTTTACATGTTATGTGCAATTAAACCATGGCAACATCTAATGTTTGTGTAGTATTATGTTCAGCAGACTGTGTTCTTCTATTGTTGTGACTTAGATGACGTTCAGAGCACACATTTTATGCCCAATTCATGCAAATCTCCACGTAATCCCAAGGGGTTCACATATGTTTTCTTACAACTGTATATCCCATTTGTCTAGGTTGCGGCATTATGTACAACTCTGATTTCATCTTCAGTGAAGTCAGAGCTGCGAATTACAGTTCTGGTTGGAATATTCAGGATACAGGGATTCTCTTGAAGTCTAGCTCCTCCAATAAGTAGCCATCTTTTATTGTTTTCAATGCATACAGTGCACTTTATGATTAGAAGAAGGGTTAATGAATGCATATATTAAAAAGAATACAAGCCCTTTACTGAATGGAGGAGAGAGAGTGTACGTGACAAACTGATCTGAGTACTCCAGATCTGTTATTCTCAGAGCCAGATGTTCAGCACTGACTGCATTGTATGGTACTGAGTGAAAAATTATACATAGTGCTGCAACCTAGGCATGTGGAGCACACTTCAATAGCGTGGATGTAAAATGTTAAATAAAAATAGTTTTTGGCTTTAAATAAAAATAAAATATACCGTATTTTTCGCTCCATAAGACGCACTTTTTTCCCCCCAAAAAAGGGGGGAAAATGTCAGTGCGTCTTATGGAGCGAATATAAAGCGGCCGGTCCGGTATTTCTGCCGCCACCATGTTAGAATACCGGGCCGGCCGCTCAGCTGTTCTCTCCTGCAGGACCTTACCTGTTCCTCGGTCCAGCGCTGCACAGTCTTCCCGCGCTGGCTTTGGCTTCTGTGACAGCTGGGTGCCCACTGCGCATGTGCTGCGCTTTGTGAATGATCCGGTGTCTTCTGGGACACATGACAGGTCCCAGAAGGCGCCGGGCCATTCACAAAGCACAGCGCTTCTTGAGCATGCGCAGTGGGCACCCGGCTGTCACAGAAGCCGGCCCGGGAAGAAGAGAGAAGGACAACTCCACAGAAGTGGGAGCGGGTACATCTCAAATTCAGGTACCCGCTCCCCCTACCTCCCTCCCCAAAGGTCAGCAGTCTCTGGTCATCCCCTGCACTGTCTGCAGTCTCTGGTCATCCCCTGCACTGTCTGCAGTCTCTGGTCATCCCCTGCACTGTCTGCAGTCTCTGGTCATTCCCTGCACTGTCTGCAGTCTCTGGTCATCCCCTGCACTGTCTACAGTTTCTGGTCATTCCCTGCACTGTCTACAGTTTCTGGTCATTCCCTGCACTGTCTGCAGTCTCTGGTCATTCCCTGCACTGTCTGCAGTCTCTGGTCATTCCCTGCACTGTCTGCAGTCTCTGGTCATTCCCTGCACTGTCTGCAGTCTCTGGTCATCCCCTGCACTGTGTCCGCAGTCTCTGGTCATCTCCTGCACTGTGTCCGCAGTCTCTGGTCATCTCCTGCACTGTGTCCGCAGTCTCTGGTCATCTCCTGCACTGTGTCCGCAGTCTCTGGTCATCTCCTGCACTGTGTCCGCAGTCTCTGGTCATCTCCTGTACTGTGTCCGCAGTCTCTGGTCATCCCCTGTACTGTGTCCGCAGTCTCTGATCATCTCCTGCACTGTGTCCGCAGTCTCTGGTCATCTCCTGTACTGTGTCCGCAGTCTCTGGTCATCTCCTGCACTGTGTCCGCAGTCTCTGGTCATCTCCTGCACTGTGTCCGCAGTCTCTGGTCATCCTCTGTACTGTGTCTGCAGTCCATTGGTTCTGAATATTTTTTTTCTTGTTTTTCGCCTCTAAAACCTAGATGCGTCTTATGGTCAGGTGCGTCTTAGTGAGCGAAAAATACGGTAACTAAAGGCCTTATTTTATTATGTGTTTATTGTTGGTTTTAGAAAGGATCTGTGATCTGTTGTATATAGGTAAAAGTGCATTTAAATTTTGAACATATATTAACATATATTAATGCCTTGGCCTTGTAATGCTGAGTATAGGCGGGTACAGGTACTTATTTCAAACTAAGGTTATCATACCAGGCCCTAACATCCTACCTGATACAATTCAGAGAACCATTACTAAGGGCCCTTTCACACCAATTAAATTTTCATGCATTCCCATTGACTTACAATAGAAGGCACCTCTTTGGTGCACTTTTTAAAAACTTTGCAGCATGCATGACTTTTCAATGCACAGCACACCTGCATTTTAAAGAGTTACATAGGATTTAATGGGGAATAGTTTTCATGCCCTTTTATTGCCCTGGCCGGACAAGGCAAAAGCGCACCAGTGTGAAAGGGGCCTAAGGCAGTTTTTTTTGGCATACAGGATAACATCAGCTAATAAACTTTGAATATGCTGTGTTCCTCATTAGAGGGTACATGTAAAGCTCACCACATATGTTATAAGCTGATTGTACAATCTCCTTTTGATCTACCAACAACTATGTAGTACAAGGGCCTGCCTGATTTTATTAGTTTTTTATAGTACTTATATCATACCTGCTTGTCAAATATAAAACTAGGTAAAGTTGGCCCTACTCTAGAAGAGAGAACTTTCATTTCAGGATCATTTGTTCAGTTTTTGAATCATTCGTGGGGTCCAAGCAAAGTTTGAAGAAGCAAGATGGAAATTTTTTCTCTAATAATGAATGTGTTTTTGTTCAGAAAATTACATTCATTACAAAATCAAATGTTAAAAGCAAACCACATTTTGAAGTACTTTTGAACAACATTTAAATGTATTGTGAGAATTTCTGTATGGCCAGCTTTACAGTGTGGATAGGACAGATAATGAAGTGGTAACATATTAGCTAAAATGCTCAGATGCTATCCTTTAAAGGTGAAATTGCTGCTTCAGGCTAAACAAGTGTGACAGTCTAAGCACTAGGTCATGTGATATTTTATAGGGAGGAAGATCAGAGTTTGTATTGGCTGAGCTGCCCTTCAGCAGATTATGTGACCAGATCTTCATATGGGAACAACACTGAGCCCGAATCAGCATTTTGTTTATTTATTACAGGTTCTTTTAAAGCGCCATCAATTTACGCAGAGCTTTACATATACACTCACTGTCCACTTTATTAGGTACACCTGTTCAATTGCTTGGTAACACAAATTGTTAACCAGCCAATCACATGACAGCAACTCAATGCATTTAGGCATCTAGACGAGGTGAAGATGACTTGCTGAAGTTCAAACTGAGCATCAGAATGGGAAAGAAAGGACATTTAAGTGACTTTGAATGTGACATGGTTGTTGGTGCCAAATGGGCTGGTCTGAGTATTTCAAAAACTTCTGATCTACTGGGATTTTCACACACAATCATCTCTATGGTTTACAGAGAATTGCCCAAAAAAGAGAAAATATCCAGTGAGTGTCAGTTGTGTGGACGAAAATGCCTTGTTGATGTGAGAAGAGAATGAGCAGACTGGTTCAGCTGTAACATTCAAAAGGTAGGGTCAGATTTTGGTGTAAACATAAAAGCATGGATCCATCCTGCCTTTTATCAATAGTTCAGGCTGGTGGTGGTGGTGTGATGGTATGGGGGGTATTTTATTTGCACTAGCAAGGTGTATCTAATAAAGTGGCTGTTGTGTATATTGTACATTAATATCAGTCCCTGCCACATGGAGCTTACAATCTAAGGTCCCTAACTCACATTCATACATACACTATATTGCCAAAAGTATTGGGGCAACCCTCTATCATTGGATTCAGGTGTTCCAATCACCTCCATGGCCACAGGTGGATAAAATCAAGAACCTAGGCATGCAGACTGCTTCTACAAACATTTGTGAAGGAATGGATCACTCTCAGGAGCTCAGTGAATTCAAGCATGGTACCGTGATAGGTTGCCATCTGTGCAATAAGTCCATCCGTGAAATGTCCTTGCTACTAAGTATTCCACAGTCAACTGTTAGTGGTATCATAACAAAGTGGAAGCAACTGGGAACAACAGCAACTCAGCCACCAAGTGGTAGGCTGCGTAAAATGACAGAGCGGGGTCAGTTACCAATTGTCTGAGTCAATAGCTTAACCAGTTGCCACCTGACCGCCATCTGGTCATTTTTTCATTTTCCAAAAAATTCTGACAAAAAAATTACAACTTCAAAACACTCGCCATGCCTCTTATGAAATACATCGGACTGTCTACGTTGCAAAAAGTGGTCATTTGGGGGATATCTGTACTGTTCTGACATTCTTGGACCTCAAGAAATTAGATTGGCTGTCAGTACTTTAGGATTGATCAATATTCAGATATACTGTATACCATAGTTTGTGAACTCTATAACTTTCCTACAAACTAAATATTACATCCTAATTTGGGTTATTTTCACCAAAAAAATGTAGTAGAATACATCTTGGCCTAAATGTATGAAGAACAATTATTTATTTGCAAACTTTTATAACAGAAACAAAGAAAAACATGTTTTTTTTTCAGAATTTTCTGTCTTTTTTTGTTAATTTAGCAAAAAATAAAAACCCCAGCGGTGATTAAATACCACCAAAAGAAATCTCTAGTTGTGTGAAGAAAATTATAAAATTTTAGTGTGGGTACAGTATTGTATGACCGCGCAATTGTCATTCAAAGTGTGAGAGTGGTGAAAACTGAAAAATGGCCTGGACAGGAAGGGGGTAAAAGTGCCCTGTATGAAAGTGGTTAAAGACTTCCAAACTTTGCGTGGCCTTCAGATAAGCACAAAAACAGTGTGCAGAGAGCTTTCCATGGCCAAGCAGCTGCATCCAAGCCTTACATCACCAAGTGCAATGCAAAGTGTCGGCTACAGTGGTATAAAGCATGCTACCACTGGACTCTAGAGCAGTGGAGATGTGTTCTATGGAGTGATGAATCATGCTTCTCTCTCTAGCAATCCGATAGATGTGCTTGGGTTTGGCGATTGCCAGGAGAATGGTACTTGTCTGACTGCATTGTGCCAAGTGTAAAGATTGGTGGATGGGGGATTATGGTGTGGGATTGTTTTTCAGGGGTGGGGCTTGACCCCTGAGTTCCAGTGAAGGGAACACTTAAAGCATCAGCATACCAAGACATTTTGGACAATTTCATGCTCCCACTTTTGTGGGAACAGTTTGGGGATGGCCCCTTCCTGTTCCAACATGACTACCAGTGCACAAAGCAAGGTCCATAAAGACATGGATGAGCAAGTTTGGGGTGGAGGAACTTGACTGGCCTGCACAGAGTCCTGACCTCAACCCGATAGAACAGCTTTGGGATAAAGTTGAGCGGAGACTGTGAGCCAGGCCCTCTCATCTGACATCAGTGCCTAACCTCGCAAATGCACTTCTGGAAGAATTCTCATAGACATTCTCGTAGACGCACTCCTAAATCTTGTGGACATCCTTACCAGATGAGTTGAAGCTGTTATAGCTGTAAAGGGTGGGCCAACTCAATATTGAACCCTTTGTACTAAGATCGGGATGCCATTAAAGTTCATGTGAGCATAAAGGCAGGTGTTCCAATACTTTGGCAATATAGTGTATGCTAGGGCTAATTTAGACAGGAGCCAATTAGCCTACCAGCATGTCTTTTGAAGTGTGGGAGGAAACCCACACAAGCACAGAGAGAAGATGCCAACTCCAGGCAGGTAGTGCCATGGTTGGGATTCAAACCAACAACACTAATGCTGCTAGGCAGAAGTGCCAACCACTTACCCACTGTGCTGCCCTGGATAACCTAGTATCTACACATCCATTGTTACTTAATAATAATATTATTATTATACAGGATTTATAAAGAGCCAACAGTTTGCTCAGCGATTTACAATATAGTGGGAGACAATACAGCAACAATACAGTTCAATACAAGAGGGTTAGGAGGGACCTGCTCCTTGGAGCTTAAAATCTGAGACTTATTAAATATACATCCCAGAAGACTATTAATTATAGCATTATGCTAAAATTTGAGAATTACCAAGCACATGCAAGTAAATGTAAAGAGAGCTCTCAAAACAGACTTACTGCTCTCAGTTCATGTTATGTTTTACATAGAACTTCTATTGCGGTTTAAACACAACATATTTTAAAAGGATTAGCTGGGGGTGCCCTGTATTCTAAAGAAGATTGCCTTAGTACCAGCTTGCTGAATTGCTTCTCTAATGTGTTACAATAGGAAAATAGGACCTAGCTATGATAGCCTTAGTGTGAAACCAATGCCTATAAAGCTTTATAATCTTTGTTATCTTAATGTATTTCTTAGATCTGAGGAAAAATAATTATAGAGATTATCTGAGCAATTCCAATATACGATAGCTCATGATGAAATTAAACACTGGTTGAATGCTTCATAGAGAGAAATCGTACACACTCCTAATACAAAATATGCTTCATAGTGGCAGTTTTCTTTCTATTACTAGAAATTAAAATTGGATGAATGATTAAATGAAATGCATATGCTAATACCTATACTAAAATAAAAGGGCTAATTTAAGCTGAAATGTTGGAATTAGCATGTTTGCTAATAAGATTATTTTCAGAGGCAGGCTACTCATTTATATACTGCATAAATGTACACTTTAGTCAGATCTAAAAAAAAGAAGGAAATATATTCTAGGGGCACTGTCTACTTGCTTACGGCCTTTGTTGTTCATTCTGACATTATTTGTGTACATATGGTCACCAATATGTAAAATCCTATGGTAAATGGTTTCAAGAATCCATATTCCTTCCCAGGCATTGAGATCTCAAACATACTTACCAAAGTTACACTTAAATTGTGGGGCTGACATTTAACCTAATATGCATGCCCACCATTAATATATATATGTGTGTATGTTTATGTTCCCGTCAATCAGAATTAACATTTTTACACCTCTTTTTTTACCTACACTTCACTCTTGTAGAAACAGGATGGTAACATGATTTCCCCAGAATTACCTGCAACACACTGCCATCATCTTTCTTTTAACTTTTCTCAATCGAATTGCAACAGGTTATAGAAACATTCTATGATGCTACGATTTAGTATGGAAGGAAGGTTTAGCATGTGTAAATTAGCTGATACTCCTTTGTTATATGCTAGTAGTTTCTCAGCATCCTAGTAGAATTCATAGTTTTAGATGTCCACCATGCAGTGATTAAGTAGGGATAGGTGCCTATTTGATGAACAGAGCATATCCTTTTTTTTAAAGTTTTTAATGATAGATTAATTTTTATACATCTCAGAACAGAGATAAATACAGTATTATGAGTCTCATAGATTTATGTTAACAGTACATCAACATTAACATGTATGTAAAACATTTGTTTTGATTTTGGATAGAGTACTGAAGCTTTAAAACCCCTGTAAGGTTATTTTTGTCTGTGTTTGTGAATTTCTAGCCTTTTTTCACCCAAGCAAGTGTACCCATTGAAAGAATTACCCTCACCTCCAGGTCTTATGACAACTCAAAAATATTGGCTTTTCTATCACTATCTGTACAGGAGACAATGGTCACCAGGACCATTTGTAAGGATGAATCTCTTCACCAATTAAACAACTGCAAAGAAAGCCAGAACTTCATATGAAAGCGAAATGCTTTATACTGTAATTTCATGTGGGACCAAACCTACATTTTGAGGATGGAGAGGTCTACTTTATTGTATTGTCATCTTGATAAAGTGGTTCTCTATGTCACCAAGACATTGTTTGGTCTCACATGGAACTACAGTAAAGCCTGTCTTTCACATGGAGTGGTGGCTTTCTTTTGCAAAGGATAATCATCATCATTAACTAAGTGCCCTCTAAGATTTTTGGATGTTTGAGGCACAGGTTATTGACTGTAAAAAAAACTGTCAGAAGTTCAATCTTCTCCTAACTCTCTCCAAAACTGCAGAAAAGCAGTTTTTTCATTACATATGCTTTAACAAAATAGAGGGAAAACCTTCTCTGACTGTCCACCCACCATCCAAGGCAATGGTAGCTAACTGCCCCAACCAGATGAATGACAATATCTAAGCTGTGTTGAAAACACAAGTTATTTTAGCTGCTAAATTATGTGTTTTCTGACAACCTAGAAACTTCATTATATCTTGAAGATTTTCTTTTCTTTGTTTGTTAAGCAGATTGTGAATAGAAAGAAGTTGACAGCCTGTAATTCAGCATGAGGCATCACTATTCCTACTATCTTATCATTACTGCCACCAAACTGCTAAACACGTAGGTGATTAAAGCAGCTGGCAGGCTTGACTTTTCCCTTTTTTTTTATTAATGGTGAATTATAAAAAGCAACACTTACGGGAAGCAGTAGACTGTGTGCGTGGCCCGTAAAATCTTGACCATTTCCAATTACCTATCTAACATCTTCTGTTCCCTGCTCAGAAAACCTTACACCAATCCAAATTTAAAAAAAAGAAAAAGGAACTCATATTCCACAAGTTAGTATATTCATTTTATAAGGATATAAACATAAGAACTAGAACTAGCTGTTTATTCATCCTTAGCTAATTTATAGTACTTGCATTTAATGTATCACTTTCACATGGACTAGGTATTAGCTTTTAAAAATCACTTTATTATTTTAATGCAGTTCTAGTTATTGCATAGGTTTTAAGTACTAAGTGTAAAAAGCAGATAGATGTATATGTAAAAAGCCATATATCACGTTGTTCTCTGTAGTGGTAAATAATAAATTAGGTCAAATGCACTGTAACTGACACTTTAATTAAATGCAGCTAAAAGCCTGTTTGTTTGAACTTTGAGTGACTTTTACTGTGTAATTACTTTCTTAATAATGTAGAGATCAAGGTCATGAAGTTCTTGACTAAATTCATACTCGGCTTTTCTGGACACCTGTGGACCTTTTACTTCAATCATATTGTAAGATATAGTTCATTTGCATTGAATCGGTTCCGTACTGCCTTCAAATCTCTCCTTACATGTGTTTTAGGCTATCGCTTAGCATTTGATTAAAAAGAGAGTCAATTTAAAGTCTTACATTTTTTTATTGCTATAATGGCTGTGAAAGGCCAAGTTCACCTTTTTCCAGAAAATAGCCCATGTGGCCAAGGGGTCACAATGGGGATAAAAAAAACCTGAGTAGCTTTGTAAAATATTCAATAATTTCATTGTCACACATGTAGGTCATTTAGGCACCCCAGAAGCCTGGCTGAAAAACTCCCAGTTAGAAATCCCCTACATCCGGCCTTGTTACTAGGATGTGAAAAACATTAGACACTCAGTTCCCGCATTACAGGAGTGAAAACCTACAGGTTTAAACTCTTCCCACCACTACCTCCCGGTCCTTTAAGAGGTTCTAAATGTCTGGTGGAGGAGACGGGCATTCCGATCATGTGGGCACCACTGTCAGCACAGAAAATGTTTGCATCGGGACTCATATATGGCCTCTCTGAGTCAAAGCCTACCTGCCGAGAGGCCACAAATATGCATACGGCCAGCAGGAACAAGATAATAATGTTGTTAAAGTGGGAGTAAACTCATTTTTTTTGCTTTGTACCTACAGGTAAGCCTTAGTACCATAAATATCTTCTAAATGTGCACCATTTAGGAGATATTTACATGTGAAGCAGCCAGTGGCTTCCAGTGACTTCACTTACAGTGACTTCACCAGCGCACGTCCACTCTCAATGGCCAGCATGCCATCCATAGAGAGAACTGGTTCGTGGCTGTGACTCCAGCACACAGGTGCGGGAGTGACATCATTGGGGCTCGACCATTCGAAAGGCCAGAGCAGGCAAACCCTGAAGGGAGGCCGGGTGAAAGTGGATTCCCTGTCT